CTATGTAGAAACTGAGCTAAGTGTTGAGCCTACTCCCACAGAGACCAAGTATACTCCAAAGGTATTGGGAAAATACTTGTATGTTTATTCTTGCTTTGAATATTTTTTTTGTGAAAGTCAATTGTTGCTAAGTGATTAAATGGAACTGGGATGCTAGTTACCTGGTCCCCCTAACAATGGGGGGAACATAGCCAGTGGAGGCCCCAAATCAATTGTAGTAGAAAGAAATAAGATTCACAACCACTCATGGTTCTTTGGAACCCAGAGGGGGAGATGTGTCCTGCCCGATTCTGAGAGAACAGGGCCAGAGTGTACATGCTATATATGTTGAAACCCTCATGGTTGCTTGAAACTTTGAGGGGAGATGAAGCAGCCTGGCCCTAGGAGAGGATATCAGAGCACATCCACTACATGTGTATATTTATTCATTTATAAATTATTTACATATGCTACTGTACTAATACTTACATGTATTACAAAACTTACCCAATAGAGAGACGCCAGAATTTATTGAGGAGGGGAATGACGTGGTCAGACCTGCCCTCTAAGGAAAATAACTGGCTGCTCTGTGGAGGATGCATTAGGGAAGGGAGACCCTTAAGGCAAGGAGAACAGTTAGGAAGCTACTGAAATAGTCCAGGTAAGAAGTGATGAGGCCCTGAACTAAGCCAATGGCAGTAAGATTTGCGGTTGTTCAGTCATTTTTCAGTCTTGTCCAACTCTCTTTGTGACCCCATTTGGGGTTTTCTTGGCAAAGATATTGGAGTGGCTTGCCATTTCTTTCTCCAGCTCCATTTACAGGTGAGGAAACTGAGGCAAACAGGGATAAGTGACTTGTCCAGAGTCACACAGCTAGGAAGTGTCTGAGGTCAGATTTGAATTTAAGAATATGAGTCTTCCTGACTCCAGGCCCAGCACTCTATGCATCATGGTGCCACCTAGCTGCCCTTGCAGTGAGATATAGGGATGTATGTGAGAGACGTCCCTGACCTCACGGAGCTTACAGTCTAATGGGGAAGCTACAAACATGATTAACATGCAAAATCATATAATTTATTCTTTAGAGAACAGTGGAAAGAGAGGAACAAGATATAGATGGCTTCGTAGCCTCTTAGGGGGACTCCTGCCCTTTCCCCAGCCCAACTGCTTTCTCCCACTCCTCCTGCTCTGGTTCATCTGTTTCTCTCCCAATGAGACACAGATCTTGCTCTTCGCCTGAATACATGATCTGATTCACTTTACTAGGCCTGATCCCAATGGATCAATCCATAGACCTCCCTCCAAATGTAGGTTTTTCTGGAGAATATTATGGTCTAATTAAAAGGCTAAGAAAGACCAATGTCAAAGCAAAAATCCTCTTGGGCTTGCCTTTAAGGATCAGATCCATAGAAATGAGCATTTCTAACTATTGCAGGGAAGATTGCCCAACTAACAAAGTCTGGGAGTTTAGATACCTTTGCTAGGAGGATTCTAAGGGGTTCTCTCTAGCTACACATGTACATTAAAAGTTACACATGGTGGGAGGAGGGGAAGAAGGGGCAGCTAAGTGGTGCAGTGGATAGAGCACCTGCCCTGGAGTCAGAAGGACATGAGTTCAAATCCAGTCTTAAACACTTACTGGCTGTGTGACCCTGGGCAAGTCACTTAACCCTATTTGCCTCAAAAAAAAAAGTTGTATATCAGGGCAGAGTGTTTATTTAAAGGAAAAGGAAAAACAATTCAAAGATCTGTTTCTATTGTGATATCATGACAAATCGGCAGCTGATAACCTCCAGGACTCCAGAAGGAGGAGACCCAATCCTACCTTTACTACAGGAGGCTTTTCTATCTTACCATAGTTCCAGACAATCTAGTACATTCTAATTCCTTTCACAAGCTTTACATCATGGCACATAAGATTTTTCTTGATTTACAGTTAATGGCACATGTTTGGGAACCAATTATTTAGTTCTAGCAATAAGGCCCTTCATTGTAAGTTTATGCTATAGGTTAAGTGACTTGCCCAGGGTCACACAAGCTAGTAAGTGTCTGAGGCTGGATTTGAACTCAGGTCTTCCTGAGTCCAGGCCCAGTGCTCCATCCACTGAGCCACCTAGCTGCCTCTATATTTTGTTGTTGTTTAATCATTTAGGTAGTAGTGTCCCACTTTCTGTGACTCCATTTGGGGTTTTCTTGGTGTGACATATGAAAAGTCTGAGAAATGTAGTTTCTGGGTAATTCATATCAATTTATTAATTATAACTAGCAAATAATTAATAAAATGATGGTCATCAGCTTTCTCTTGTACACCAAAGATACCTCCTGGAGAACACTCAATGCTTAAGAAACCTTTGGGAAAAAAAAAGCCTTTGGGAAAGGGGGTTACCTGAGGGTGGAAATCAACTCTAATTGGTTAACAGTCAGTGAGGGGGTGGACTTATTAACGAGGAGGTGAGCAAAAAGTCTTCAGCTCCTCCTGTTGAGAATGTGATGCCATTGTGAGACTCAGCCACCTCCAGCAATGTGGACAAAAGAGTACATCTCTACCCACACTACTCTGGCTGGTTGTCCCCTTCATAAGCTGAGTCACCCAAGGACAGGTGACTTGGAAGGTTTCAAGGACAGGGGTTTATTTCCTAAGGGCAAGATCTCACCTAGACTGGATTTTGTTTGTAAGGTCTTCTAGTTGGGTGGGTTCCCACCCAAAATTTAAAAGCATGTACCCTGAGGATTTGGGCAATCTCATCTATCAGCAATGTCCTTCAGAGGCTGGCTGAATAACTTACAGGGGTTAGTTTTTGAATGAGGAAATAGAAAGGGAAACGCTTAATCTTAATTAATAATTGGTTATTAATGGAAGAGGAAAATAATCATTTCTCTCATTGGCAAGGATACTGGAGTTGTTTGCCACTTCCTTCTCCAGCTCATTCTACACATGAGGAAACTGAGGCAAACAGGGTTAAGTGACTTGCCCAGGGTCACACAGCTAGAAAATGTCTGAGGCCAGATTTGAACTCAGGAAGAGGAGTCTTTCTGACTCCAGGCCGGGTGCTCTATGCACTATGGCACCACCTAGCTGCCCTCACAGTCTAAGGTGGGGGAGACAAACCATTGTTGACATATAAGATATATATCCTGCAAATGGAAGGTGACCTTTGGTAAGGAGGAAAATATTCCCTCCTTCCTCCTCCCTCTTCCGCTCCCCTCCCCCCAAGCAGACCATTCTGCCATGGATTACGTTTAATTATTAGAAAAATGCTCCTCACATCAAGCCCAAGTCTTCATCTCGGCAATGTCTACTCCTTGTACCATTCCTGTTGCTCCTAATTCTGCTCCCTGGGGTCAAGCAGAGCAGTTAAATCTCTCTTCCCTAGGTCTGCCCTTCAAATACTGGCTGTCACTCATAACCCACCCCGCCACCACAAGTCACATCTTCTCCAGGCTAAATATCACTAGTTGGCTCAGATTTTCTTCATACAGCATGAACTTTAAACCTTTTATCTTCCTGATCCTCCTTCTCTGAATGAGAAGGGCAGAGAGAGTGAGGAATCCAGGATGACACCTAGGTTGGGAGCCTGAGGGCTTTGGAAGATGGTGTTGTCCTCTTCAGTAATAGGGAAGGTAGGATGAGGGGAGGATTTTTTTGGGAAAGATAATGAGTTCTGTTTTGGACATAATGAGTTTAAGATGGCTACTGGATATTCAGTTTGAGATGTTTGAAAGGACTTGTAGAGGCAAGACTGGAAGGATGCAAAGAGTTGGGGGCAAGATAGGGAGATTTGAAAATTATCAGCCTAGAGATAGTAATTAAACCCAGGAGAGTGGATGAGATCACCAAGTGAAGTAGTACAGAAGAAGGGAAGAGGGCCCAGGACAGAATCTGATGAGTGACACCTATGGTTAGAGGGTGTGATTTGGAGGAGGATCCAGCAAAGAAGACAGAGAAGGAGTGGTCAGATAGATAGGAGGAAAACTGGAAGGACTGGTGTCCTGAAAACTAGAGAGAAAAGAGTATCAAGGAGGACAGAGTGATCAAGTGTCAAAGGCTGCAGAGAGGTCAAAGGCAATGGGGATTGAGAAAATGCTATTGGATTTGGTGCTAGGAATCAATGGTAACTTTGGAGAGAGCAGTGTCAGTGAAATGATAAGCTCAAAAGCCAGACTGTAAGGCGTTAAGAAGAGAGTGGGAGGAGAGAAAGAGGAGACACCCATTGTAGATGGCCTTTTTGAGTTTAGCTACAAAGGGCAGAAGAGATACGACTATAGTAGGATGGATGGATCAAGTGAGTATTTTCTGAAGTTGGAAGACTTAGGCATGTTTGTGGGCAGTAGAGAATGAGCCAGTGGACAGGGGCAGATTGAAAATAAGTGATAGACTGGGGATGACAGAGGGGGGCAATCTGTTGGAGATGGGATGGAATGGGATTGCTGAGCAGGTAGACGGGTTACCCTTGGTAAGGAGTGAGGACACTTCATGTGAGACAGGGGTGAAGGAGGAGAGTGTCAGAAGGCATCTGAATGATAGGAGATGAGGAAGAGGGAGTTCACAGCAAATGGCTTGAATGTTTTCTATAAAATATGAGGCAAAGTTCTCAGTGGAGGGGGGAGGAGGAACCATGAGAGGTTTGAGGAGGGATGAAAAGGTTTGGAAGAGCTGCTGTGGAGAGTGCGATAGTGAGCTGATAAGGGATGTATGGTGGGGCTGCCAGCAGCAGAGAAGCCCAAGTGAGGTTGTGTATCATAGGTTTGTGGTGGACCCAGGCAGAGCAGTTGGGTGGTTTTCTCCACCTTCCTTCAGCAACACAGGTCCCGCCTTACACTTATATATGCACTTATGTCTCTCTCTTTAGAATACAACCTCTACAGGAGCAAAGATTGTTTTATGCCTTGTATTTGCATGCACAGTGGCTGGCCGGTAGTAAGTACTTAGTAACTGTTGATTGTTGATTGAGCAAAGGAGAGGAAAGAAAGCATTCCTGGCAGTCTGTAACTCAGTCAATCAACATTTATTTATTAAGGGCCTTCTTTGTGGCAGTGTACTTAGAGCAAGGGATACAAAAACAAAAACAAAGACCAAAAAAACCAAACCAAAACAAAACAAAACAGAGTCTTTGCCCTGAAGCAAACAAGATATGTATAAGATCTAAACACAGGTGACGGATAGTCATTTGAAAGGGAAAGGGGAAGGCGGCTGAGGAGTCAGCACTTCACAATGATTATATCATTTGATCTTCACGGCAACCCTGAGAGGGGGGCGACGTGTCTGCGGTTCACTTAGAACTCAGGTCTTCCTGACTTGAGGTCCGGGGCTCTAACCACTGCGTGCTGCCTCTAGGTAGGAGGAGGCAAATGAAGAGATGGAGGTGAGAAGTGATGCATTCCAGCGGCGACGGGAATCCTGGCCAGAGTATTTGCCCAACAAATATGCTTGCTGACTAAGAGGAGTTTATTTTGTCCCAAATGCAATAGGGAGCCACTGTGGTTTCTTGAGCTTGGGAACGACGTGGTCGCTTCTGCCTGTGAACTGGGCTGCTGCGCGCAGACTGCGCTCGCTTTCTTGGCTGCCACATCTTGCTGTCGTGTGGGCCCAGTTAGCGCCTCTTCGCGGGCTCCTCGGTGGCCTCCCCACAAAGGGGTAGGTCTGGCATAGGCCCCAAGAGGCGAGACTCCTGTTCCGGGGGAAAGGGGGGACGGTTAAGAAGGGAACATCATCTCCAGGAAGTGACGCAGAACAGAAGGGCTCCCGGCGGCCGGAGGTAGCAGGAGCCATGGCAGAGGCGGAAGCGGAAGGGTGCTCCTTGCTGCTGCCGCCAATACCCCCTCAGGGGATGGCGGAAGTGGAGGCGGCCGACGAAGCAGGGATGAAGCAGTTCCGTGGAAGCGGCGGTGGTGGCAGCAGCGCAGCCGTAGGCATGGACGTGGAGCGCAGTCGCTTTCCCCACTGCGTGGTGTGGACGCCCATTCCCTTGCTCACGTGAGTGTCTGACCCCTCAGACCCTCCCCGCCCCCCCAGCTATATTCCTGCTCGGAAGTGCGGAGCTCCCGGCCCCGCCCCCGTCACCAGCCCCGCCCTGTCGAGCGCCGCATGAGCCTGGCCCCGCCCCCGCCCTTGCCCAGAGCTCCACCCCTCGCCAGAATAGCCCGTCGCGGAAGCAGGCCGCGTCGCGTCGGGAGGCTCGGTTCCGTCCACCTTCCCCCTACCCTTAGAGCTCCCTCCACCCTCCAGCTCTCTGCCCCCTTTGAAGGCTGGCCCCGCCCCCTGAACTGTTCTCGGCCCCCCCTCCCACTAGTTCTCAGAGCTCCGCCCGCTCACCGGCCCTCAGCCACTAGTGAGGGCTGGCCCCGCCCCTTCGCCCGCCCTCCTAGCGGTTCTCGGCCCCCGCTACTTCTCAGAGCTCCGCCCCCTCGCCATCCCTAAGCCCCCGGTAAGGTTAGCCCTGCCCCTGGGAGCGGCTCCGCCTTTCCCGGGTCGCCACTCCAGCTCTGAACCCCCAGGAGCCTTAAACATCTGTGGCTCCACCGCCTTAGAGCCTCGCCCCCTCCCTCAGCCACTTGTAGGTGAAAAGGGGGAGGGAGGGAAGAGAGGGCTGGGTTTGAATCCAGCTTCTGATACTTCCTGGCTGCTTAACCTTGGAAAATTCCCTTAACCTCTCTGGGTCTCGGTTCACCTGCAAAATGGGGGTAATGATGCCCGTGGCACGTGTTGTAGAGAGATGAGAAGCTCTATGTCAATGCTTTGGGAGCCCGCAGGCCCCATCTAAAGCACTACCCTGGCTCTCGGTGCCATTTGGGTCCCAGCCTTCGAATCTCATCCCATCCCCCCACCTATGATTTCCTGACCCCTGGCTGTACCCTCCAACTCCCTATTCGTGTCTTCAGACTCCCCCAGGCTGGTCCTCCCATCCCTGCCCCTGTCTTCCTCCCTGTCCTCTCCCTCCACTTCCCCACCTCTATGCCAGGTGCTCTGGCTGTTCTCTAGTCCTTTCATCTCCCCTCTTGAGCTCCCTTCTTGGGGCCTCCTGTGGTAAGCTCAAGGGCCCATCTGTTGCCCCTATCCCTATTCCCTTCCTTGGGTCCCTTTGGGATCCCAGAATCCCAGCCTGGACACTACCCTCCCTCACCAAGTGACTTTGAAGACTTTAAAACACTTGATCCCTGAGTTATTATTCCCAAAGCTCTGTTTTCATCGCATCATTCTCTTGCCCAAAGACCTCCAATAGCTTCCCCCTCCCTAAACGCCTTAGCCTGGCTTTCAGGAAGGCCCTCCACAATCTGGTACCTTGTTAGTTTCACCTCTCACTACTCTTCTACATAGAGCTGGTACCCTCGCCAGACTGGTCAATTCATGGT